GGCTACAGAAAAAGCAATAGCAAAGTCAGTTAAAAACTAAAATTTCATACAGACAATGACTTGTTTATACTGTTATATATACGATACACTGAAATGTAAATACAATATTTATATGGTAAAAATGAGAAAGTAAGCAATTTGAAATTATTTTGAAATTAATGGAGATATCCCATCTCCTAGAACTGGAAGGGACCTTGAAAGGTCATCGAGTCCAGCCCCCTGCCTTCACTAGCAGAACCAAGTACTGATTTTGCCCCAGATTCCCAAGTGGCCCCCTCAAGGATTGAACTCACAACCCTGGGTTTAGCAGGCCAGTGCTCAAACCACTGAGCTATCCCTCCCCCCCAATTTGTCAGTAATAGTGTGCTGTGACACTTTTTAATTTTTATGTCTGATTTTGTAAGCAAGTAGTTTTTAAGTGAAGTAAAACTTGGGGTACGCAGACAAATCAGAATCCTGAAAGGGGCACAGTAGTCTGGAAAGGTTGAGAGCCACTGTTATAAGAACCCAGAATTTGCTGGCAGACAGCTTCAGCAGGCACTTTGCCACTGACCATGGGTGGGAGTTACACAGCCCAGTGGTGAACAGCATCTTCACTCAGTGTGGAACACCTACCCGGGATCTGTTCTTCTTCTAGACAAACAGGAAGTGCATTTTGTACTGTTCCAGGAGAGCTCGGGGCCAGTTCTTCTGGGGTGATGCGCTCATGCTCCCTTCGACAGAACACTTGAACTTTGTCTTTCCTTCTATCCCACTGCTTCCTCAAGTACCGTGGAAGATTTGACAGGACAGAGAACAAGTTATTCTCATCATGTCCAAATGGCCCAGGCAGATCTGATTCCCAGGTCCGCATAAGTCAGCTTGGCTACTCATCATCATTCATCCCTTTCCACACCTCCTGACTCACGAGAATGGCAATGTCAGACATCCTGTCCCGGAAGCTCTTCACAGTTTGGTATTTGGATGGATGTCGGACCTATAACCTTCCTGTTCTGAAAAGTATAACCTAAGGTATACTTACTAATAGTAGATATTTGCAAGGCAGCAACGAGGAGTTCCATCCACACATTCACAAGACATGACACCTTGGTCCAAGCCTCCTGTCCTGACGCATTTGTTGAGACCTCAGTTATTACAGATAGCCATATCAACTGCATCCTTACACCCTCCTCTTATGTGAGTACTGCTGGTCAGTCACCCACAGTGGAATATACGTAAGGACCAGACTTTGAAGAAGAAAAGGAAGTTACTTATGCTTCGTAATTGGAGCTCTTTGAAATGTATGGTCCCCATCTGTATTCCATTACGCACCCACCTGTGGATGGAGGTGCGGCTAGGCAGCTAGGAGGCACTGCCTCCGCCCTCAGGTGCCACCCCCGCAGCTCTGGCCAATGGGAGCTGCGGAGCCAGTGCTGGGGCGGGAACAGCGTGCAGAGCCGCCTATCTGTGCCTCCTCCTAGGAGCAGCAGGACATGGAGCTGCCCGAGATGAGTGCCACCTGTATCTGGTACCCCGCACCTCCTCCTGTGCCTCAACCCCCTGTCCCGAACCCCGTCATGCAGCCAAACTCCCTCCCAGTGCCCGCACCCCGCATACCCTCCCACACTCCAAACCTCTCGTGGCTGTTCCTCTGCGTAAGAGCAGCAGGGACATGTCGCCATTTCCGGGATAGCCACGTGGAGCCAGGTAGGGAGCTTGCCAGCTCCGCGCCAACCGGACTATAAACTGGACTGGTTTATATGCTGGTTTATAGAGCTTTCTGGTTGGTAAACTGCCAGATAACACAGCTTTTACTGTATTATGAATTAGGGAATATTGTGAGATAGCTTCAATTAATGTATTCCTTTACACATTGTTAAGAGGTGCATTAATGGTTGTGTGGAACGATAATATCTAGCTTGCTCGAAGATAAGAAATCTTTCCCAAAACAGTTTTGGAGGTGTTTATTTTAGAGACTCTCAGCTTTGTGGTCTCACTTGCTGGCTAAGCTTTAATTTTCTAGCTTCTTTATGTCGACCTTGACCTTTTAACTAGGAGGAATTGCATTGACACACAGAAACCGAATTGCAGTATTATTTGTGTAGGTTTTTGTGTCAGTTATAAGAAGATGAATTAAAATAGCTGTTTGGATAATTATATTTTGAGACTTTTTGGTGTATTACATCTTATTTTATAAGTGTTTTTAGTTTAATACATGCTTATTGAAAGTGTTAAATTGAAATTTAAACAGAAAAAGATAGGAAGAAGGAACAAGTCACTCTTTTAGTGTCTGGAATGCGTAGGAATGTTAGGCCTTAGTTTCTTCCCTTACAACCATACATTTTCACTTGAAGATAACAAGTTAACATTTATGTACTTAAAAGATCTGTTAGCTCAAGATACAGAAAAAGGATCATAAAACCATTTAAAGCATCTCAGGATTCAACTGAAAGTCACTTGGCTTAAAATCAGGCCTTTGTTAGATTTTAATGCAAGAGTGCATGATTCAAATGGAAGCTATTTCCTGATATCATTACCTTGTAACTTCCAAGTAAAAGAGTATCAAAATTACATATTCAGGGGCCAAAATCAGATCCTTTATGTACCATATAGCTCTATGCTAGAGATGGGATGGGATGGGAGGAGATTATCCCCTAGCTGCCTATAATTTGGGTAGCCTGCCTTAATTGGCACAAGAAATGTAGTTTCAAAACTAGCTTCTATTTGGGAGTGATTTGAACACCATAACCCAAACTCGCCCTCCTCCACCCTGCACACCAAATCACCCATTCCACTGGATTATAAATGTATCACTTGACACTGAGATTGATAATGCCGTATTACTTTAGCGCTCATGCTGAAAAAGACTGCTGTCTTCTTAAATTATTAAATAAAGCTTATAAAGAATTGTTAGTGTATGCTGATATGGTTTAATCAACCTGTTAATTAGATTAATTTGGTTTGATAATACCCACTTTCTTAATTTTATTTGTTTACATGAATTATGGTCTGTTCACTTTCCTTAGTTACTTAGTTTAGCATATTAAATCCCTGTGGATGGAATGTCGTGTCTCTCCCAACCCCAACCCCCCCCCCCCCCCCACCACACACACACACACACACA